ACATGACCGCCGCTTCAGACAGTGCCGAGATCAATGGGTCGTTTTCGAGCGGCCCTGCGTCTTGGAAAGTACCGACGTCACGGATATGTTTTGGGGGGAAGTACCTGTGGCAATGTTAAGGACGTCAGACCGTGGGAGGAAGCCTACCTACCCAGGCGCAGCACAAATGGCTTGCAATCTAGACCACGTTAGTAGCTTCACGTTTCATGCTCATCGATAAGAGTATCTACCCACATCTCCCAAAGCTTGACTCGTCCGCATCCACTGCCTGGTTTGATGGCATGGTCTGTATTGGTTTGATCAGAATGAGGTGGTTTCATCGTGATCGAGGTGAAGAAGGATAAGAGGAGAACGATCAGGGCTATTGCAGGCTTACCGACAGCCTCTTCACGATCGCCGACACCGTTGTAATTCGTGAAGATGCGGCTACGGGGTCTCTTGCTGACTGTAGCAGCTGGCAGACCAACTAGTGTCCCATTGCGCGCCGCGTGTGAGACGTCCGATATGCTTTTTTCGTTTCCGAAGGCTTCTTTCAGAGCAGCCTCGATATGTTGCGGGGGGTACAAGCCGTCAGCAAAATACGAAACGATCACGTCAAGGAGACGGAACAGGCCAGGAAACGGGCCAGAGCTCCCCACGACCTGCGCCACCAGGGGCCTGAGGAACCGAGGTAGGAATGGAATAATCAGCTCTCGCCGCTGGAAAATCACTCGTGCTAGTGTTTCAAACCTGTCTGTAGATTCCTCAATGGATTTTCCATTCAGGAAGACGTCTGCGACAATCAGGCCTCCTACGAGAGTCAGCGGAACTCTAAAATGGGTAAGCGCAGACTTACCTGAACTGATTCCGAAGGCGACTTGGACGAGCCTCTGAAAAGGAATCGGCAGGCTAAGCCGCTCCTGGATCCTCCTCATTAATCTGAGCGGGGCGATCCCCCGCACGCCTCCGCCGTCGACGCACAGCACCCCGACGCCTGCGGTGGGTGGGTGCACGCGAACTAATGCCCCGCCCAGCATCTCTTCCCCACATAGAAAGCATGTTTCGAGTTCAAAGAGCCATGGGTCCCCTGGGGACCGGTTGCCAAAGCTGAGGACGCAGCTCTCGCATACGACATGTCCGCACTGCAGACCGTATTGCGGTCTGCGGCGCAGGCAAGAAAGACAGGTGCTGTTGGAATGGATCTCCTTCCACGCAGTCCTATAGCGTCCGAGGGTTTCGCCGTGGATCCTGGCCGATGTGTTCGGCCCCCGAATGAGTTGCCCAAATGATTCATCAAAATGTTTTTCAACAGCATCAATAAACCCGCTGCGAAGCATCACATCGCTGGACCCCTCGAAGCAAATCACCCTACTTTTGCTCACCTGGAGAAATATCTCCCTGTACAAGGCGTTGAAGACATCGGACGGCTTAAATACTAGAGAACATGAGAGCGAGTCCGGCGAGACAGGTGTGAGTGGGTAACTTACAGTGATTCTCAGGCAGGTAGTTATCTAGGAGCAGGCTCGACCCGAGGACTGGAGCGGCGAAGTCGATCAGCTCTATTGGGGTCTTGATGTACTGCAAGAAGCCGGAGAAATGCTGAACCAGGTCTTTAGCGACCGGGTTGTGAGATCTTGACGCCTGAATGCAGTCAAAAGGCTGCGCAACAACGGTTGCGAAATGCCCGCACGCGCTTTCAAGCAATGTGGTAAAATGTTTGGCCGAAAAAAGATGGCGCGATCTGTACCTCGCCGCTCGTATTTCATCGGAACTCTGCATGAGCAATTCCTTGAGAGCCCTATAGCGCGCATCGACGGATATAGACCCGCTCGGGAAAAGGCCAAGGATGTCGATCGATGAGAAAATCTGCATCGGATCCCTTGCGGTTTCTTCACGCAACAGGGAAATAAAGTCTGCTCGGGCCTTCTTCTCGCTTGCCACACTGACAGTGGTCAACTCAATTGCTATCACGACTTTTGGGCGAATGTTGTTTGATGGCATCGACGCGTGGCTGCCCTCTAGCCATTGCGCCAACGCGCATGCTACTTGTCTCAACCCGCCGATATCATCAGAGAAGAACACGAAGACATCAGCGAAGGGATACAGGAGCTGAGAATAGATGCCGTTCGAGATCTGCGCGATGGTCGACCCGTGACTGGGTCTCTCAACTGTCCGCTTGATTATACGGTGACACCTGCCCTTGGTCAGCTTCGCAGTGATGCTGCTGCGAATGTCACCCTCGGCGATGAGAAGTGGTCGTCCGCGAAATATACTTGACGGGTCAACGTGTAAGTGTAAACCGCGGCTCCGTTTAAATCCAGCACTTCGGCTTCTCCTGACACTGAACACTTCTCGAAGGGCACTTGATTTCGTGGTGTTACCGATCAGTACGAATAGGCTGGGCTGCTCAATATCGCAGTCTGGGATACTGCTGGTAAGTCTTTCGGTCCTGTCTGAGACAAGAAGCTGGGCGTCGTGGCCCTGATTCTCCAGGCCCAGCCAAAAAGTATGAGTGCATGGTTTCATTGTCGAATCGGTTGGTTTGACGATAAAGATGCATTGACAAAGGTGTGCCAAATGAATAGATGACGGACGCTTTATAGACGCGTCACGAGCATCAAAGTGTACCGTTATTTAGGACCGTCTGAATCTAGGCCTTGATCAAGGTCCAGCCTCCTCGCCGCTGGGACGAACCCCAATCATGGCCTTTGACTTAAGGCAAAAGAGCCCACGTCTGGGCCACATTGCCGGAAGAATTTCAGTTGAAGAATGGCTATGAAGCCGTATTTGAATGATTGAAAAAAATGCTTACGAGATCAAGAGACAAAATTAGTGCAATGACTGACAGCGGACTGCTTTGGCAGCCCGAGATCAGTTCACCTTGCCGTAAATTACGCTACAAATTACCTCTTCCCAGCCTGTTATAAGAGCGAGTGATCACACAGTATTCCACATTTTCAGAGGCCAAGCTTGCCTGTGGATTTTGCGGGGCGTGTGTGGGACAGCACAAACGACAGTGGGGCGGAGGCGGTTCATTTTGCCGCCACAAACATGGTCGACTCTGACATCAGGCAGTCTATCGCCTTCGAGATCATAGGTGGCAAAAGATATGTTCTCTCCAACTAGAAAATCTTCATTGGGGACGATTCAGTACGATTGAAACAAGGAGGCGCGACAGGAAGGCGCTGGTGAAAGAATTCGAAATGTC